TAGACTTGTTTTATTACAATAGGAGTATAAGTGAATTGGCACAATGTTCAAAGGAATATAAGCAGCTCCCCACAGTGATTTCAGTTCAATTAAGCTGGGTATTGACAATCTGTATACTTCCTTTCCTTCCAAGCATTGTGATAGAAAAATTACAGTTTTTTTTCTGGCTCTGCAAAGACAGATATGTGTGCAGAATGAGGTCTTATTAATCAGAGCTATTTCTTGTCTCCCTTTTTTTTAATAAACTTTCCTTTTATTTGTTCTTCCTTCTGAGTGGTGATCCCCATGGCAACAGATGGAACAGTATACAGGATCTGTAATTACTATTATTAATAATAATAATCACAATAATAATACCAATCAGATAAAATGGGAGAAAAATATGAAATAAAATTAAATTGTAGCTCTGTCTGTAAACAGTTTAAAGCTTTGGCAGTGAGCATCAGAGGAACCAAGCAGGTCGTGCAGGCCAGTGAGCATCGACAGCTTTTCCTGAGAAAACATAGAGAGAGATTTCACCCCAGGGACAGGGATGCAGAGTGTTCAAAAATACCCTGCCATGACCATACTGCTGGCTCCTTGTGTAACTTCTTGTTCTTATCTTGTGCTATTTTTTGTTGTAACCACATGTGTGTATGTGATCTTACAATTTAAGAGTCCTTTTAAATTTGGACCATTATATAACATATGCATCAAGGATTTTCTTTGGAAATGCTGGAACCAAGAACCTGGCATATTACAAATGGCTGTGATGAATTAATCTCTGCATTTGACAGCAATATTCCAGAAGTCCTAAGGTGCTTGGTGTAAGCCTAGGCTCTGGTAGCTTGGGGATGAAGACCCCTTCTTGATCATCCAGTTCTTGAGGAAATAATACACAGCCTCCATGAGAACACCCCTCCATCAACACCCCAATGTTCCCCAACAGGTCCCTGTGGACCCATCTTAATCCTCAGAGTAACTGTAATAGCCTGAGACATTGTCATTGTATATACAACTCTCTCTGCCAAACAGTGGGGAATGTTTGGAAGAATTACTGCATTTCCTTCCATATGTACACTCTAGTGGCTGACACAGTGCAAATGGGACGTGAGCTTGAGCACAGGAATGAACATTTTCATATCCTGGAAGATTACATAACTCCAGGTGAAGATAGACTTGAAAGTTAAAAATCACAGTAGAACTTGAACAGTACTTTACTGGTTTACATAACACAACAGGGCTATGTCTATTGCACGATGCTTTGGAAGTTCATCACACATGCTATTTGATAGCCCATGACCTGTAACTCTTTTCTATGTAAAGGTGGCTTGACATCTGGTATAGATCTGGGTCATGAGATCACCTACATTCATGTCAGCCCAAAACCAGGCATGGTGGGGCACTCTTAAAATCCTAGCTCTTATGAGGCCGAGACAGGAGGATTACCACGAGGTCAAGGCCAACCTGGAATACATAGCAAGACCGTGTCTTTAAAAAAGAAATCATAACAAGACAAAACATAAAAGAATATATTTTGAATACATAATAACTGTGTCACTGGCATCATTCTAAAGCCCAAGCTGTATCCGCTGATTTCCCTGTTGATGAAATTAACCATCTTGACCATTTACTTTCATGAATCCAGTTTTACTGAAAGCTGTGCGTGAATCCATATATGGGTCCATGGTGGGAGGTGAATCTCACCTGCCCATTGCCTATAGGACCATTCAAAAGGACTTTTGCTTGTTTGAAAATTCCTCAGAGCTGACTTCACATAGTCCTTGTCCTGTTAAAATCACCCTTCCCATCCCAAACAAGGCATGGAGAGTATCAGTCACCAGAGTGCATCTGTCCATGGGGACATTCACTGCTAGATGTTCATCCAGCTTCCAGGGCCTATGTACACAGCTACCATGGAGCTGAGATAAAAGATAGAAAGCCAGGGGCCTGGGATTTTGCTCAGTGGCACCACGCCTGCCTTGCAGGGACAAGGTCCTGAGTTTGATTCTCAGTATCCAAAAAAAAAAAGGGATAGAAAGCCAGAAAACAATGAGCTCCAGTTGTCCCTTCATTTTTAGTTGTCATCCTTTTCCCTGGAGAAAAATAATCAGAGGACGCAAGCCAGCTTTAAAAGGAAAGTCAGCTGTGAGGCTCCCTAGTTCACAGACCTATCCCCACCCTGTCCCTCTTGTGCTTGAGCCAGAGCCGGTGCTGTGTAGTAAGTGAATTGTGGGGAGCACTTTGGGGCTCTTAATTGTTCCTTTGTATCATCTGCACATCACATATTACCAAAAAGTGTCAATTATTAATTGAATTCTTAAAACTTCAACTCACCCTCAGAGAACTAAAGATGGAGCTAGTGATGTCACCAGTGACCTTAGGCTGAAATTTTGACTTTTTTCTGCCATAGATTGATATAACTTATGTAAAATGAATCAATGGATAAATGAATGACCAAATACATTAGTGAATATATGAGCAATGAGATAAATAGATGTATGGATATGCAAATATATTTACACTTAAAAGAAAATATAAATCCAAAAGATTTAGTGGTGTTGCATGGGCCACTTTTGGAATTGGATCGCACCCAAGGAGAGTAGAGACAAGTTTACTTATGATAGACAGATAGATAGATAGATAGATACATACATACATACATACATACATACCTAATAGGCAGGCAGACAGACAGATGGCAAGAAAAATTGCTACCTAACTACCTCCTCAATGTCAGTCTTTACCTGATATCTACCAGAACAGTTTTGAAATGAAAGCCATCCAAGGCCTCATGATTTCATTCATTCATCTCTTCTCTCATTCTTCAGGATGTGTTTGAAACTCGTGGCTTCCATTACTGTAGACCAGACATGATTTCTTCCCATAAGCATCATGGTCATCTCAAAGTGCCCATATTTATTGTGCCTACAGCATTTCCTTATCAAATGATAACTTTTCTTTGGTTATTTGCTCAACATTTGTCCATACTGGTATGAACATTTTTAAAGTTTCAGGTTAATTATTTTGTAATGTTACCATGTTTTACTTTTATTTTTAAAGGGCAAATGTAGTAGTATTAATTTTTGAGACTTAAAGAAACATATAATCCTGCTCCAGAGAAACATTAAAGATGCAGATTATGGATGGATTGGTTTTATGAAAGATGTAAGATGTGTCTGATTATTTATATATAATTCAGTTGGATAATGGAAGACTTATTTCCTTTTTAGGGTTAGAAAAATCCTTTGGAGATATTTAAAACCAAATCCTCTCTTCCTTCTTTCTTTTCCCAGTATGTTGAAATTGAACTACGGAGAGGTGAATGACTAGTTCCCAGTCATGTGTATAATTGATGGTAGAAGAATCACCACAGAACTCCCAAGAAAAGTCACTTTCTTTTCTCAGCTAAATCATGCCCACAGCCCCAACACTGATTCTTAGTAGTGCTAAATAATAGTGGTTCCTTTCAGCATCACCACTGTCTAAAAGCTAGGCCTTAAGTTATTTCTCTACCGTATGAACCTTAGTTTCCCCATTTGTAAAACTAAAAGGGTGGAAACTAAGAGGGGAGAAACCACATGATTTCTATGTTAGGTTTCCTTTCAGCTCTGAGAATCTATGAAGAGTAATGAAGCAATTATGTGGGCAAGAGTCTCAGATGACAAAAGCTTTTCAAGTCTTCTTATTTCCTCCTTTACTCTATTTGTGAGGAAGTTCAGAATTAAATTGTATGTCCAATTGCACTAAATGTTTTGGGCCAGTTTATTGTAACAGTGTCTGATGCACTCTAGATAGACCTTACAATTTTATACTTATGGTTGCTATTTCATATAATCAGCTCTGTAGCCCATGTTACTGATGAAGCTGACATGCTCTTGTTGTCATTGTTGTTATTGTAACTGATGACAAAATTTAGTTTCAGAAAAGTGAATCCTTGTCCAAGCTCATTGTTGACAGAAATAGGTTTCTAATACAGCCCTCTCAGCCTCAAAAAACCAAATTCCTTTTTTCTCTCCTTGCTGTCCATTCTTTCCTGACTTGTCCTTTCACTCATGTAGAGGTCCTTATCTTTGTTTATTCTTTTACTATAAACCTTTCTGGATATTTTTGGCAACTATATGAAAAGGAGCATAAATAATGAAAAATTACAGTTAAGTGCATTGCATGTGTCATATAGATCCCCAATTTTAACTTTGTCACTGATGGTATATTTTACATTACTTGTTATGTGTAGGTCTTATTTTCAAAATGATACTTATGGTTCTTTGGAAAAGTTATTTAAACTAGTGTTTCTCCTGTGAAGAAATGTATATAGTAGCTGCAAATGCGGGCCTCAGTTCAAATCCTTGCTTAGTCACCATCTATATAATCTTGGGACAGCTACCTACTAGTCATTCACATTTTCCTCATTTTTAGCATGGCAGTATTGGCTGTCTTCCAGTTTAGGTATACTCAGGTTTCTCTATCTTTGAGATCCATGTCTGAGGATTCAGTCAATCTCAGAGCAAATATACATGGAGAAATTTTTTGTGTCTGTGCTAGATATGTACAGACATTTTGTTCGTCATTATTCCCTAAACAGCTATTAACACAACATTTACATTGTATTAAATATTGTAAGTCATCTGGAGATAATTTAAAATACACAGGAGGATGTGTGTAGGTTCTATGGAAGTACTGTGGCATCTTAGGTAAGGGACTTGAGTTCCTGCAGATTTGAATATTCCCGAGGGGTCCTAGAACCAATCCCACATGAAGATAGAGGTAGGACTCTATTGTCAGTTTTAAAGAAGATAATTAAATCTTTAGTATAAACTGTGAAATAAGGACTCCATCCATATAGCTGTTAAGGTTATTTGCCCCCATACTAACCGAAGAGAACACTGCAAGGACATTCTGTAGAAGCAGGGCACACAGACAGGGATTGACTATGGCACATGAGTGACCATCACACTACTGGCCTGATCCTCTTGTGACTTTCCTTCTAACATCTCTGCTTTTGGATATTGTCTTGGCAGAAGACAAGATCTGGGTGTCAGTGGAGCACAACAACACAGAGCTGACCCGTGTGCAGGGTGCCAACCCTCAGAAGCCCTACATGATGACCTTGGACTACGGCAGCAGCATGGAGCAGCTGGAGGCCCTGATCGACAGCTCAGAACACTGTGAGCAGGAGGTGGCCTACCACTGCAAGAGATCTCACCTGCTCAACACACCTGGTAAGGCCAAGGGGGCAGCAGTGGGATAGATGAGACTCTGAAACCCAGAGCATCAAGCAGGGAGTGTTTGCCAGGAAGGGAGCCATAACTGCGGTTGTTCACCATGCAGTGGAGAGAAATGTGGCCAGGAAAGGCCCACTTATATCTGAGCCTTGCCTTTCATATCCAGGGAATGACTTGAGTGCATTCCATGAGCCTCTCAGGGTTTGTTCTCATCTTCAAAAAGCAAATGTACACAACTCCCATCCTGCAACAGTTGTGGAAATGAAGAGCTTCTTGAGAGAAATGGCGCTTGAAGAGGGAGAACCTGTGAGTTGGACACAGAAAGCGTGGTGGTGGGAGACGATATTTCTGAGAGGGGAACAGAATGTGAGAAAGAAATCTCAGCACCTTCATCCAAGATGATGAATTGTGTCTGGGCGAAGGATGCATAAGGCAGAAGTATTGGGCAAGGAGGCTACCAGGACAGGGGTAACTGTGTTGATGGTACTCGTGATGCCAGAGGAGTAGAGGCACTAAAAAAAATTACTTTTTTAATAACAAACTTTCATTTTAGAAAAAATAAGCTAATCCTTTTTATTTATTTTCCCCATGGTGGCGATCTCTTAGAGAAAATGTTTGATATTAACTATAAATGTGTGAAAGAAGAGAGAGAGAGAGAAGGGAAGGAAGAGAGGAAGGGAAAGAAGAGGAAGGGAGGGAGGGAGAGAGAGAGGGGAAAAAAAGACTTCTAGGACTGCTTACCAAATTCCAAAGAGTAGAAAATGTCAGAAGGTGTGGGACAAAGTTTCCTCACACCCTAGGAGTCTGTGATGTTGTGAAAGAAAATTTACCATGTATTTCATGGAACAAAAAAAGGCCACAAGTGTATTGAGCATTCATGAAAGGGTTTTGCAACCTCCACCCTCAAGAAGTTTAGAATACAGTGCTTGGAGTTTAGAAATTGTGAAAGGCTGGAGAGATAGAGACAATGAAACATCAGCACAGGGGATGGGACAGAAACTAACTAAACAATGTGCTGCCTAGCTGGTCTAGAATCTTCAGGGAAGATCTTATCCTACATCAGTGAATTTTCCAGATAACTGTCGCTTAGCCCTTTAAGCACCAAAAACCTTTTCAAAGAATTTTTAGCTAGTTGAAATGAAAATCTTTCTCAAATGGATTACACGCTTCCTTGCCTTTCTAAACAGAGAATTCTAAATGTAAAATGTAACATTTTCTTGATGACTCAGGATCACCATTGTGAAAATCAAATATTGTCCTCTCCATAGGCTCAACTACACTTGCAAGGTTGATTAGATCGGAGGCACTATTGGTGTCCTTTACTCAACATCCTCAGACACACTGGGAGAGTAGGTGTTTGTATTTATTCATATTTCCCTCTCCCTGAACTGTGAAGGCTGTTCTTGTCACTCTCAGCTCCTTTTTGAGGGTGCCTTTATTCACACACCTCTCTACCTAATTCAATTGTGTTGCCTATAGTTTTATGACAATTAAATTTGGTAGAACTATAGGAAAATGGGAATGTGTTCATTCTGACTATAGGACTTTCTTTAAAATGGTGGTCTTATAATATCACTTGGTGTTATGGCTTGTGTTTAGATGTCCCCCCAAAGCTTCATGCTTTTTCAGAGATGGTTGAATCTAAAGTGTGTGATTGATTCATGATAGGGTTAGGCCTGACAGCACTAGGATTAAGGGCATAAGTCACTAGGATTAAGGGCATAAATGCTACCTGCTCTAAGTAGTCTGAATAAGGTAAAAGGGGCAGAAAGACACTGTTAAGGTCCCTTGTTGGTTTTACTATTTTGTGTGTGCCATGTTGTTTCTCCTCTGCATTGTCTGTTTGTCATCCCTGCCTCGAAACCAGTGGAGTATGAACTGAAACCTCTACAAACCTCTGTGAACTAAATAAACCCTTTCCTCTTTAACCTTTTGAATGTCAAATAATTTGTCTCAGCAATGAGAGAAAAGTAACTAAGATACGTGGCCACACCACTACCTTTGTGTATGTGCAGTTTTCCTCTTTAACTCCGGTGTCTTACATTCCCAGTGTACCTGAGTGGAAAAGGCATGGATTTGAGAGAGGCCCGATTGGGAGTGAGGGTCTGACTTTCTCCACCATTCATGTGAACTGATGCATCTGCTCAATTGCCACAGTTCATTTTCACTACCTGACAAATGTGCATGGACATCCTGAACTCATAAGCCTGACAGGAGAGCTGAAGGAACAATGACATCTTGGCTACTGGTACAATGCTTAGTATATGTTAGTTATTCAGCAAACACCAGTGCCCTTGCTCACAGCTCCCATCCCAGCAGGGAAGGTCCAAAATTTGTGTCATAATGGGGAATAAGCTCAGAGGGGAATCTTATTGCTATTTAGTTATATAAATAGAATATTGATAATGATTATATAGTAACAGGATTGAAAAATTTATATAGGCTAGTAATCTCACCACCTGGAGATGCCAATATAACGTTTCAATGTGAAGCCTTGCAGATATTTTTTTCAAGTGTACAGTATATTCACAAAGTCATCACTGGAGCACACTACCCATATGTTTGAGCTTGAGGGTTCTCATTAATCCCCCTGTTCCCCTTGGATTCTGAATCAGTGTAGTAAAATGAAGGAAGACCATGGCATGGACACCCAGTATCTATCTACTTTCTACTGGGAAGTTGGCTTGGAGAATGCAGTATGAATCCCTTGTTCCTCAAATTACTCCTCCAAACCAGTCATTGGTTGGGGTGAAGGGGGTGACAGAGAACTCATCAGCCAGCCCCTTACAGATGTGGTCCCAGCTCTGCACCATTATTGCAGAGTGACCCTATATTTGGGCCTCCATGCAGGTGTGCTCACTTATGGAAGCAGGAATGCAGAGAATAATTAATGTGCATCACGGATCTGAGAGCCAGCATGGAAGGCATGTGCTTCCAGCAATGTTTCCCTGGTCTCCCTTAGCACTAAGCATTCCCTTCCCAATGGGAAAGGCCAAGGGCAAAAGGGACAAGGGCACCATTCTTTCTCTGTTATCCACCAGGGAGTCTGGAAGTGTTGAACAAGTTTTTGCACTATCAAGTAAATCTAGAGTAGATTTAAGAAAGAGATTCCCATCCTGAGACACTACTTTGCAATCTATAATTATCACACACACACACACACACACACAGACACATATGCAAACACACACAAATGTACAAATATCAATGCACATAAATAAATATGACCCAGACCATCATTTTTATTAACAACAGAGTATTATCTGATATAGTGGTACTAAAATTAACAAATCTGCTATTTGGACATATAGATTGTTTCCATTATTTTACTAATACAAATAATGCTGTATGAACATGTTTGCATGTAGATCTTTATGAAGGTAACTGTTTTAGTTACTTTTTTATTGTTGTTGTTGTTGCTGAGACAAAATACCTGACACCCACAAGTTAAAGGAGGAAAAGCTTATTTGTTCCACATTTTGTAGAGGTTTCAGTTCATAGTTGGCTGGCTCTAAGGCAGGGTATCATGGCAGAGGGACATCACAGAGGAGAAACAGTCCATGGCAGGGTAGATAGGAGGTAGTAAGCAGCAAGCATCCTAAGTAGTAGCAGGGCTCGGGGATTTAGCTCAGTGATTTCTCTGCCTGCTGTGCAAGCGCAAGGACTCAAGTTTGATCCCTGGTACCAAAAAAAAAAAAAGAAAGAAAGAAAGAAGTAGTAGCAAGCCTCCCTTTCCTTTTTATCCCATCCAAGATAAAGACTTTTCAGTGGTGCCACCCACACTCAGGTTGGGCCTTCCCATTGTCCACACTCAAAATCATGATAAACCAATTAGTGAACTGCACACACTTAATGCAAGTATCACACACCTAGATCTGGCCACCTCTAAAAAGCCCCACCACTGAGCACATGAGGCTTTGGGGGAACATCTAGACAGAAGCCATAACACTGATTGTATCATCATAATAAACTCCTTGAGGTGTCATTGCCAGGGCAGAAAGTGTACATATTTTAAGGCTTTTACCACAATGACTTTTACAGTATATCAAGGTTTTACCAATGTATCCTCTGCAAAACACTGTGGGACTAAATGCTCACTTCCCAGCAATGGATATCCTCATTTTACTTCAGTGTTCGTAGAGCTGATAAATGTAAAGAGGGTCAAAGACAATTAAAAATAATTTTTGTTATCTTTGTTAACTTTTTAAGAAGATGTAAGACCAACCGATTCCCATAGTTTATTGGCTACTTCCCACTAATCCCATAGGATTAGTAGAAGTTACAAAATATCTGTAAATTTTGGCTACAGGTGTTTAATACACAAAAAGAGGATGTGGAGGGTGCCTTCTTATCACAGACTCTCCTCCATACTATATAAATAGTAGATTATGAAGAGAGGAAATAAAAAAGAAAAGATGACAGAAAAGTAGAGGAATATTAAAATAGCCACTAACAGAATAACAGAAGTGTCTTATGTTTGGAGATATGTTTAGGGTGCTGTATAGGCATTATATCTAATCCAAAATCAGCTCTTGCCATAAGGGTTATTAGCTCCATCTAGTATTTCAAAAAAAACAGAATCAGAGAGAGAGAAAGATGCTTGTTTAATGCCACACAACTAGGGGAGGGCCAAACCTAGCTTTTGCACCCAACTTGCCTGAAATCAAAGGATAATGTTTTGTTTTGTTTTGTTTTTGCACACAATCAAAGGGCCAAATGCTGTAAGGTAATGAGATAGCCCAGATAAATATACATTTATAAATTTCCTTACTGTGTAGGAAAATAGATAAGCAGCTAGATCTGTCTAGTTGTCTGGTGGCCTGAATTGGGCAATTTCCTGAGCGACCTCGAAGGGTCTACACCGAGCTTGCCTACATGAAGCAGCTTCCAAGGCTCACCCACCCTGTACAGTGGGCCCTGTGTGTCACTATAAGAGCTTCCTCAGCACCTGCTCTCTCTGAGCTCTGGCTTTGGCTTTGGGTCTCTTGATCAAGGAG